AAAAAATTATGTGGGAAACATATACAACTACACTAAAAATATATTAAAGTAGCTAAAAAAGAATTCATTGCTTTCCTTGATTAAAATTCACTCAATAAAAACCTTGTACATGTAAAATAAAAAGTTCTTATACAGAAAAAAGTAAATTCAAACATCCAGAAACTTTAGGCTTCACTTCGAGAAGAGTATAGATTTTAGAATAGCAACCCATTTTTTAATAAACAAAGTTAAACTACCCATCTCCAATCATCAATGAAGAGTATACTAAAAAATAGACAGGGAATACCAGAAGAATGTCTATCTGTATTTCATTGATTATGAAAAGGCATTTGACTGTGTGGATCATAACAAACTGTGGCTGACTCTGAGAAGAATGGGAATCGCAGAACATTTAATCGTGCTAATGCGAAACCTATACTTGGATCATGAGACAGTCATCAGAACAGAGCAGGGTAACACTGCATGGTTCAAAATTGGGAAGGGGGTATGCCAGGGATGTGTTCTATCTCCATACCTTTGCAACCTGTATGTAGAGCAGAATATCCAAGAGGCTGAGCTCTATAAGGAGAAGTGTGGCGTCAGGATTGGTGGAAGATCTATTAACAATCTGCGTATGCAGATGACACAACCCTGCTTGCTGAAACTGAGGAGGACCTCATGCACTTGCTGCAGAAGGTCAAGGACTGCAGCCTTCAGTATGGATTGAGGCTCAATGTCAAGAAGACAAAGATTCTCACCACTAGACCAATTGGCAGCATCAGGATGGATGGCGAAGAGATTGAGATTGTTCACAGCTTCAGTTTGCTCGACTCCATTGTCAACACTCATGGCATCAGCAGCCAGGAAATAAAAAAACGTATCGTGATGGGAAAGTCTGCTGTTAGGGACCTCTCTAAAGTACTCAAAAACAAGGGTGTCTCTTTGGAGATTAAGGTGCGCCTGATACAGGCCATGGTCTTTGCAATCACTTGTTATGCATCAAAGAGTTGGACAGTGACTGGGAGGATAGGAGAATTGATGCCTTTGAGCTGTGGTGCTGGAGAAGAGTATCCATAGACTGCCAAGAAAACAAACAGATTCATCCTGGAGAGGATTAAACCAGGCAACTCCTTGGAGGCAAGGATTCTGTGGCTTTGTCTGACATACTTCGGACATGTTGTAAGAAAAGACGGGTCCTTGGAGATGGACATCATGCTTGGTAGGGTGGAGGGACAGCGCAGGAGGAGAAGACCCTCTATGAGGTGGACTGATTCAGTGACTAGGGTAATCGGGAAGGGTGTGTCAGAGGCAATGCTATTGGCACACGATAGAGCAGGGTTTAGGGCTGTTGTACATAGAGTCGCTATGAGTCGCAAACGACTCGATGGCACTTAACAGCTACAACAACAATACTAAAAAAAACTCACAGGCTGGCTCTCTTAAAAATAAATACATATGTAAATACTTTCATGCTTTGTTAAATGTAAAAGTATTAAGCATGAATTTTTATCTTAAATTTATTTTTTTGTCTTTACATCAACTCTTTAATAGACAAACAGAAAAATCACTGGTTTCTTTTATGACCAAATGTGTATGGATGCAAACATGTTTACATGAGATGAAATAAAGGAAAATGATCAAACTTTAGGTTTAAAGGTAAGAACTTGATTTGCCAGTGGAAGGCAACAAATAAGACACCAACTCAATTGCAGAATTCAGAAAAGTCAAATTTCCTTACAAAGATCAAAATTAATTTTGCCTATATTTTACTGTTTAAATCATACTTAAGCTATAGTATAATTTGAGCATCCTCTTTCTTCACTTTGTTGATGGTTGACTGAAAAGGAAGACATGACCCCCAGTCATTGTGGTACAAAAAAAGAGAGATATGTAGTTTGAGCAAGAGGCTAAAAATGGAGCTGGGGTATTGTAACAGAATGGAAAAAATTGGGGAACACTTGCTCAACTGTTTATCTATTTTAATGAGTATTGTCTTGCTGTAAAATTAGTAATAATTTCAAAAAAAGAGCTCTCACAGATGCCATTGAAAATGCAAATATGGATTTTGTTACTGAATTCACAAATATAGAAGTAAAAGAAAAATTTATAGATTTCTATTTGTAGAATATGGAAGCCTATCAAGCAGATGTTGCACATTTCAAAATTGAACCATCAAGAGATTTTGTGAAACATGAACCACAAAGCATTTGGGAAGGAATTTCACTGTTAGCTTTTGAAAAGACCATCACATAGGACATATAAAATATAGGCCTCTAAATATCTGTGTGAAAAACAGAGTGTCAGACAAATGAAATTGGGTTAGGGAAAATCTATAAAGCACAACAAAAAAAAATACGTTTATAATTCTTTAAATCTTAAATGTTGGTATACGATAAATGCATTTCAAATATATAATAATTTATTGCTTTGAATTTATTATAGGCATGGCCATGATCTACCATCAACTTTCTTACTAAGACAATCTTAAACTCAAATGATTTATTACTAAATTAGGTGATAGTATATATTAAATAGAAAGAAAATATCATTCATCTTTAATTAAAACATTAATTCCATACTGTTTGAATAATATTGATGTTTCCATAAAGCTAAATGTTTTTAAGAAGCATGCAACTTTAATCATAAATAATGAAATTTTATTGCTAAAAAACTATTTTTACTTATTAATTATAGCTTCTTGATCAACATGACATTTCCTCTAAACTAAATTTTTTATTTAGCACCATAAATAGGTATATGGGAGCAACAGAGACATACTATGTTAAATCTGAATGTTGAAGGCATAAGAAAATTATGGGCATTTCTTATATTGTATGAGTTAGTAATACACTTAGATGTAAAATTATTAACATTTTAATTCATGTTGTTGTTGTTGTTAAGTGCTGTCAAGTGGCAGGCGACTCATAGCGACCCTGTGAAGGAGAGTCCTCAACGCTTGGGTGTCTTTCATCCCCTCTCCAGATTCATAGGTTTTCCGGAGGCAAGCTATTATGGAAGTGAATGCCACTTCTCCTTCCAATTTTAAGTCATAGGGGATATGAATTGATATGAAAGTTCCAGCTATAAATAATTGCACAATATAGTTAATATTAAACAAAACACACAGTAAAAAGTTTTAATGAAACATTAGGACTCTTTCTTCATAACATTTTTCCAAACATGAATAATTACCCAAGTGTGAAACACACATCACCAGCTATGATATTATCCACAACAAATAACAATATGTTTAAAATGTAGTGGCTTGGTAACACTATTTCTTTCCTTTCCTTGTAAATTTATTTTGGTAATATGTAACAAAATATTTGCTATTTCAACCATTTTAAGTATATAATTCAGTGATATTAATGACATTCATCATATTCTACAGTCAACACCACTATCCATTTCTAAAGTTTTTCATCAACTTATGTTGTTGTTGTTATGTGCAATCGAGTCGCTTGCGACTCATAGCTACCCTAGGTTAAAGAGCTCTAAATGCTGTTCTATCCTGTGCCAACCTAGCCATCTCAAGAGCACTTATTCCCACTGCTCCAGTCACAGAATCAATCCATCTCATCGAAGGTCTTCCTCTCCTTCGCCACCCCTCCACTCTGCCAAACATGATGTCCCTCTCCAAGGACTAGTCCCTC